CTCTGGGACCTGGCCAACATGTATAGGTGTCAATGAATGTGTACATGCATGCTCTGTTGAGTATGTGTGTGGCCATGTGTGCTAGAATTGGTTTTTGTATGAGAGGCTCTCCCCTGCTGCTCCAAGACTCTGTCTACAGATGCTGCATGGTCAGGCTTAGTCCAGGCCCACAATGTAAATAAATACTGTACCCTTTAGAGTGGTGTCCTTATGCTATACACAGCCTGCACAACCATACATAGCCCTGGCACTAGGGTATGTCTCAACAAACTCTTCCTGCTGAGGAGGCGATAGGTAATCTGGTTACTAAAGCTGGGCAGGATCTTTATCCCAAACAGTATTCCAGCATCCATGAGGGCAATCAGAACCTGGAGTTCTTGTTCTTCTGTGAGGCCTGACTCTCCAGGCTTCCATTTCTATTCCTCTTTTCTCCAATATGTGAAATGACTTGGAAGACTTTCTATTCTAGCAACCAAATAAGCCTAACCAAACCTTTGCAAATCACATGAACAACTAGTTTTAAATTAGGGCATGGCCAGGAGCTTCAACTTCTGATGCAAAAGCCCAAGACAAATAGGCTGTGAGGATTCCTCAAATACCAAGTGGTCTATGAATTAGAGATCATATCATTTTGTAACATAACCATATAAGGAAATATTTCACAATTAAACATATTGCTTATGGTTGCTGATACAATGGCAAATTTTACTAAGTGAAAATAATTTTACGCTGACACAAACAGGTCACTTTACAAAAAACTGTTTATATTAGCACCCCTATCTGACCTAGTTACCTAATATACAGGCGCATGGTATATCTTACATCACTTGGCACACCAACAAGTTAATCATACAAATCACAATTCCAAGCAAAACCTCATTCTGGTAAATATATTAAGTATTTGAGCATGTTTGAGTAATTTGTGGTCAAATGTTCATTAAAATGGCTTAAGCAATCTTAACTATTTTCTAACACATAAATGCTCATTCTTTTCATTATTTTAAAAAATATTAGAACTGTTAGACAAGAAATCAAGCACAAGCCAACAGGCTCACCAAAATCACACTAACAGAACAAGCAAAGCTACAAATTTGGAATAACTACTAAGATACTACTAATAATTAACAATCACATAAACATGATACAAGAGGAATTCCTAGTTGTTGAAAAACTCTATGATCAGCTACATCACAGTGTTATCAGAAAGTGATTATGTAAAACAATAGTGTATTGTTTCAGAGTGTGTCTGTGTGTATGTAATGAAGTTCACAGCTATGTTACACTAATGACCCTAAACATCTGAATTTTCTGCCATCTTAACCTTTAAATCAACTGCAAAAGAAGCTGCCAAAAGCAGTTAGTTGGAAAGCACAGAATTCCCAGAAGAACTCAGTATATACAACTTATTTTACTACTTAAATGTTTTTTTGATTACTGGGATTTGAACAAGATGTTAAAGATTCAAAACTAACTTTAACAGTAATGGGTGCTTACTAAATCCATAATATTATTCAACATACACTGGTTTTAGAAAGGCATAGGTCATATTCATATGTGCGTGTGTGTTTTTACAGCACCTGGCATATTTTTGTTCAAAAGTACATGTTAATTGTTGCAGGACCTGGCAGTGGTTACTGTCCTTTTTAATAATGTTTTGACTGACCACTAAGTCAAAGTTGAAAAAGTAACTGGCACTTTTATTTCTTGATTTGGATTATCTTTATGTTGTAAACCAGTTCTCAACTACTCTAGTTACCTTGCAACAAAACACTGGCAGAGAATATACTGGATTGAAATTACCAGACACTATTTTCACTGAATAAATAATACATTTGAACTGTTCACATTTCATTGTAAAAGGTTCACAACCCTTGGAGTCTAGGGGTTAGACTCTAAGTTTTGAAAGCAAAGTGAATCAGAAATCACATTCCTTAGAGTAGCCAGTCTGGAACAGAAGATGTTTATTCTATGCCGAGTCTCCTTTGCCTCTGCAAACCTCTCCAACAGTTCACTCCATTAAAACATCGAGATGGGGTAGGATGTGTTGATAATAAAAAACCTTCCAGGCATTTATCAAGTAGATTATCTCTGAAACTACACCTTGGATTAGAAGCCTTTGACCAGGAATTTGGCCTTCTGTGTTAATCTGTGTATACATTCATTTCAGATTTTCTCTTGCCTCTGTTGTTCTTTTTTTTTTAATCTAATCCATAGAATAAATTGTCCTGACTTAATTTTACTTACGTGACAATTGAAAACAACACTACTGCAGCGTAACACCACTACATCTGCAAAACTGCCAATTTCAGTGAGTTCCTCTTCCACCCACCTCACCCCATCCCCATGAAATCCCAGAAGAAAACCCCTGAGCCAAGGGCTAGGATTTTTCTTTGCTATAGGGTAAGTCTATGTGACTTTTTTATTAATGATACTGGAAACTTTTTAAAGACTGCTAGTGTACATACAGTTTCCAACACCAAGAACACAAATAAATCCCTTCATTTTGTTTAGTATTTCAAGACAAACTATGTTTCTCATAAAAGAAGAGTATCGATTCAGAAGAGTCCTTGGAAGTCACTATGTGTAAATACTTCTGACAACAGAACACATTAATGTCAAGACACAGCCAGTAACGTAAAAAGCCTCGATGCATCTGTGCCAGTCAAAGGGCATGTGTATTAGCAGCTCAGGGAAGTGGCATTTGCAGGAAGGCACTACAACTGCGTTCAAAAGAAAATCATTAGGCCTCAGCCGTTAATCCCCTCCCCCATGCTCCTCATCAGGATCCCTCAAAGCAATTAACCAGTAGAAGGTGCTATTCTGCAACCCACAGTATTCACACCAACCTCCATCCTTGGCCCAGAGCTGGGTTTAACCCAGGTGGAATCGGTCAGCCTATTCCCTGTCCAGTATTCAAGGAAGACTCTACACCAGCCCCCAAAAGAGAAAATCAGATCTGTCTTTATAGCCCCTGTGTACAAAACAAAACAAAAAATGACATCTCAATGGCCAGCATAACTACTATCAGCCATCAGACCACTAATATGTCAAAACACACAGACATTCTTTACTAAATATTAATCTCAAACACGATCTTTTTCATCTTAATTGAGACGATCTACTTCTACCTAGAAAAGGCCCTGGTCACATTCACTACAATAAGAGTCAACTGAACAAATCACTGTTCCCAACAAAGTCAGGGGCAATGAAGAATAGGAAAGCTGACTACAAGGCCACGACATATAAAGAGGGATTTTATCTTTACATACACACAAAAAAAGAGCAGCAGAAACTAGGGCTGCAAAGGAAAGAAGGGAGGTGGAGAAGAGGAGTCTCTGAACATGTTTTCGAGTGTCCTTTAGTTTCCGATATACTCTTCTGCCTCTTTTAAGGTCGAAAAAAAAAAAAAAAGGCCAGACATGAGATGGGTTGAAAGAAAGCTGAAAAAGAAAAGCGTCCACCCTTCCCCCCATCTCCTCTCTCCTCTCTCCCAAAAAAGAGCTGTGTTTGTCTGTGCAAACCTAGTCCCAAATATGGGAGAGAGAGAATGAATGTGTGTATGGAAGAACAATGAGCCCTCAGCCTGGTATTGTGTGTGTGTGTGTGTGTGTGTGTGTGTGTGTGTGTCTGCCTCTGCCTCTTTTCCCTTCACCCTCAACAACAACAGGGAGAGCTAGAAGCCAGCTTTCCACCCAGGCCATCAAAATCAAAACTGGTTTATAATTTACAGTGGCATTAACTCAGCAAGGAAATCCATGGAAGGAAACAGCTACCCAAAGATGATTTTATTATTGTATAGATCCATCCTCTCTCCCCTCCCCCAACAGACTGAGACTAAAAGAAACCAGTGTACACCAGACAAAAAAAAGGTCTCTCTTTAAACCGAAAGCAATTATCAAAACAGTTTCGTATCTAAACATAGGGTGCATTAATTTGTGTGACATCAAAATGTTTGTTTTGCAATCCACGAAGTTTCCCTTTTACTAGTTATCTTTTCTGCGTTTAAAAATTTGCTTTGGGGAAGGCTATTTCGGGATTCATACAAAACTACTTTCTAAATGTCCCTTAAAATAGCAACAACACACACTGAAACATTTAAAGCACCCAGTTTCTCAAGGACACGTTTTTTTTGCTTAAATCAATGTCTGAAGTCTCTAATCCAGAGAAATTGCAAGCAAACCTTGGAAAAGAGGCAGAGGAACATGACAATTCGACAATGAATCATTTTGTTTTCCTTTCAACAACTTCTCAAGCAACCACTTTCAAAGGAAACCTGCAATACTCCCCCCTCCAACACACACACACACACACACACACACACAATCTTATGTCAAACTACTACCTCTCTTCTTTTCAAAACCTTCAATAAAAATAAAAATAGAAGCCACTCTCTCTTTCAGAGAGCAGAACTCAAACATGGTAGTAAGAATCCTATTCTGCTGCAAATGATTTGAGGGTTTTCGTAATAATTCAGGAACCACACACAGAGACCTGGAGATGTAGAGCACAAAGAGGGAATCTTTCCCTAATGGGAAAATGATACTTTCAGAAGAGTCCTTTCCACCACCACCACCACCACCAAGACCCCCAGACCCACAAACATTCAAGAAATGTACAGCCTGGGTCCCTGACTTCCCTTCCTGCCTCCCCACCCCAACCCCCAGTTTCAGCCAATAATTTAGTCACATGAAACAGTTTAACCCTCAGACAAGTCCAACAAGACCATGAATAAGCAGCAAAGAAAGAACAGGGGTCGGCAGGCGGGTGGGACAGTTACCTGGCCCGCACAGGGCCCAGGAAGTCCCCGGCCCTTTATTCCCGACACCCCCCCGCCCCCCCGGCCGCGCGCGGCTTGCTGGCCGCCCCCCCCTTCCCGGCGGACCCGGGGCGCCCACGCCGACCCCCTGCCGCCCCGCGCCCCCGCCCGCGCCCGCGCCCGCGCCCAGGACGAGGCGCCGCGGGGACGGCAGCAGCCCCACGCCGGCAAGTTGGAGACTTACCTTCCCCGGATGCGCTACACCATCAATGGAGGTGTGTTCGTCCGGCTCCCGGGAAAGTGGGGGACGGGGCGGGGAGGCCGCTGGGCTCGGGCCGACGAGGGGCCGGCCACGGGGACGGGGCCGGGGCCGGGGGGCTGCGGGGGCTTCCCTCCCGTGACCTCGGGGCCGGTCTCCACCAGCCTCCCTGCTGCTCGCTCGGCCAGTCCTTCAGGAGCGGGAGCCCAGGATCATGTCTGGTTTTGTTTTCCTGAGGGCGAGGGGCTCCCTGAGGATGATGCTGATTTTTTTTCCCCCTCAACTAGCAGAGAAAAGAAACAGAGACAGTGTGGGAGGCGAGCGAGGGGAAGAGCGGCGGGGAAGCGGAGGTGGGGGCGAGACCCGAGGCGGGCGAGCGTCCGGGGCGTGCGGGAGGAAGAGGAGGCTGGGAGCGCGGGGGGCGGCTCGCGAGCGTCTGTGGGAGTAGCGGCGCCTCGGCGATGGTGGCCGAGCCGCGGCGGGGCTGCTGCACCGACCCGCCGCCCACTCCGCGCTCGGGCCCGGCCCACCTCGCAGTATCGCGCCTCGCCATTGGCGCGTCCCGGCGTGACGCGCGCGGAGGCCGGGCCAATGGGAGGCGGAGGGCGGGCGAAGGGGCGGGGCTTCCTGCGCTCTCTCATTCTCTCCCTCTTTTTTTTTTTTTCCTTTCTAATAAAAAAGAGCAGGAGAGAAGGAGGGGAGAGGCTGGTCTGTACCGACACGGCGGCGGCCCGGGCTCGAGCGCGCGCTCCGGGCGGCGGCTGGCGGTGGGCTCGGCCCCCGACCGCGGCGCGTCTTTGTGCAGGTCCCAGCGGCGCCGCTGGCCGGGGTCACAATTTGCCGTCGCAGCCACTTCGGACGCGGACTCGTGTCCCTGGGAAGGGGGGGCGGGGGGAGGAGGGGGAGGAGGGGGAGGAGGGGGGAGGGGGACTCGGAGTGGGCTCCAGCGATTCGCTGCAGGACTCTTCCGAAATTCTGGTTTCAGAAGATTAATTAAGAAAAGGAAAAACGAAATTCGCAGGTCGCGCTGCTTCTTTGAAAAAGAATATAATAAAGAGGCAAAGCCCGGAAAGTCTCATCAAGGAATAAAGAAGGGACTAGAACCCCAGCCGCAGAGGGCATATTAGGGAGAGAGCAGTGTGCACAACTCTATGCCGTAAGTTGGAAAAATAAAATTTAAAAAAAAGAAAGAAAGAAAGAAAGAAAGGAAAAAAACTAATATCACCTTTTTCTTTTGAGAGACCTAGTGTTCTGGTAAGGCTGGTAATGACAGGGTCCGCGGTGCTGTAAGGGGAGTGAGGGGCAGGCCAAATGCGCATACTCTTGTTTAATATAATTTATAGGAATGAGAGGTTTGGAAATTTTAATTATGACGAGCAGTTTTTGAAATGCATATCATGCTTATTGAGTTCTTTCACACACCCTGGCACGAATCCAGGGCGAATCATCAACCTATTGTTGGTTTGTTAATATACTGTAAATGCTTATTGGTGTCCTTATACCATACACTCTCCCTGAAGGAGTTCAGATCTGTATATAATGGAATAATTAAGGGATAGAACACAGCGCAAAATAATTCGCTCATCTCTTTCAAATAAAGTGATAATTTTCTCTTTGGAATATCTATTCAGATTATAATTTCCATATCCCGCAGTTTCTTTTAAGAATAATTTGGACTGAGCAGATATCATTGGGCTGTGACTCCATAGATTCAGAAACAAAACGGGTCTTTGCCATAACCTCTCTGAGAAACTTTCAGCAAGAAAAACCCTCTCTTGCTCCAATTCCTTCAGCTATGAAATGGGAAAGGTAGTTAATACCTCATTACATATCTAATAATGCGAGAACTGAAAGTTACAACATAATAAATGGCTCCGGACATCCTAGATGTGAATGGAACTATTCGACCTCAGTTTGAAAATAGTAAAGTGTATTAGATGGCTTCAGTGTCCATCACCATCTACATTTACAAGGACACCCTTTCTAATAAAGGTTCAGCCCTGTGGTGGGCAATAGACAACAGTTTTTCAGAAGATGCCCGTGGATCCTACACCACCATTCAGCAGGGAGGAGAAAAGCTCTCAAGATCAGTTAGCCACATTTATTGTAGTATTAGGGCTTGCCATCACTTTCATTAATTTATAAAAATGTGGATTCAACTCAGTCAGTTGAGCGTCCCAAGCTCTTGATTTCAGCTTGGGTCATGATCTCAGGGTTGTGGGATCGAGCCCCAAAATGGGCCACTGCACTTAGCAGGCAGTCTGCGTGACATTCTTTTTCTCCCTCCGCTTTTCCCTCTCCTCCCCTCCCTCTCTTAAAAAAAAATAAATAAATAAAGTAGATTTAAGGGTGCCTGGATGGTTCAGGTGGAAGAGCATGTGACTTTTGATCTCCAGGTTGTGAGTTCAAGCCCTAGATTGGGCATAGAGCCTCCTTTAAAAAAAAAAAAATACATAGATTTAGAAGTTTCAAGATCTCACATTGTTATGAAGCATAATATTATGGTATTGCACCATATAATTAGCAAACTAGATCTCTTTAACTACAACAATCCCATGCAAGACTTATCGTCCAGCCATAAAGCTGGAGAGAACAGCCTTCCTGAGAGGCTGATAATGTAATAACAATACATCTTAATAAAGACAACTATTAAACGACGGACTGAAAGCTTTTTACGTCCCTAGCGCCATGCAAAGCATGTAGTGCTCCTTGGTCCACTTAGTCCTGACAACAACCCATGAGGTGTATTATTATCTCCATTGTAGAGGTCAAGAAACCGGCTTGGAGAAGTTAAATAGCTTGGTCAAGGTGAAAGGGGTCAAATATCTAGTGGGTTTTTTTCCCACTATGAAATTAGAAAGAATTTCCTTATTCTTTTTTTCAGCAAGCTTTAGAAAGTGGGGATTTAGTTATTGAATTTGGAAAGATCAAGAAGGACTTTTGTTTGTTATTTTATGTGTCTTACTACAGGTAGAAGTGATTTCATTCTGAATACAGAGGTCATATCAGAGATGTAATACCATTATCTAAAAGAAGCCAGGAGAAAGAGGGATTCTTTAATAAATGACATTGGGACAACTAGATATCTATACAAGAAAACAAAACAAAATACAGGAAAAAAATTTTTAGGGGTACCTGGGTGGTTTAGTTGGTTAAGCATCCAACACTTGATTTCAGCACAGGTCATGATCTCATGGTCATGAGATCAAGCTCCATGCTGGATGTGAAACCTGCTTAAGATTCTCTTTCTGGGCACCTGGGTGGCTCAGTGGTTGAACATCTGCCTTTGGCTTGGGTCGTGATCCTGGAGTCCTCAGATCAAATCCCACATTAGGCTCTCTGCTGGGAGCCTGCTTCTCCCTCTGCCTGTGTCTCCGTCTCTCTCTGGGTCTCTCATGAATAGATAAATAAAATCTTAAAAAAAAAAAATTATCTTTCTCCCTCTCCCTAGGCCCCTTCCTCTGCGCTTGTTCTCTCTCTCTCTTTCTCAAATAATAAATAAATCTTAAAAAAAAAAAAGTTACAGAGACTTTACTGTGGCCTACAGGACCTTGTAAGAGCCACTGAACCACTATTTGTTAGGTTAAGTTTAGAAGTCTATTTTATTACTGTCCTCTGTAACCCACATAGAGGTCAGATATTTTATGATTTTTTAATGAAAGTAATGAGGGAAATACTAAAATTTTTTTCAAATCATGGATTGAAGAAGTTTTTTTTTAAGCATGACCGGAAACCCAGAAGCCATAAAGGAAAAACACCAATAAATTTTATCTATGTATATTTTACATCTCTATAAGGGACACACACACACACAGACACACACACACGCACACACAAAAACAATGCAAGAAACAAACAAATGGAGGAAAAATATTTTCAACACCCATAATAAAGTACTAACTTCCTTCTTTCTTTTTTTTTAGATTTTATTTTTAAGTAATCTCTACACCTAACATAGGGCTTAACTTCACAACCTCAAAATCAAGAGTTGCATGCTCTACTAACTGAGCCAGCCAGGCACCCCTAACGTATTAACTTCTTTAATACAAAGAGCTCTTACAGATTTGTAAGAAAAAAAAAATCAGAAGAATGGACAAAATATAGGAACAAATTCACAGAGAAATGTGTTCAATAAACATGATTCAATCATAATAAAATAAATGCAAGTTAAAATCATGTCTCACATTAGGGAAAATTTTTAACTTCATAATACCCACTGTCAATGGGGATGTGGGAAAATAAGTACTCTGTAATGTAATCAGTCCCTTTTTTAGAACACAATTTGGCAACCACCTATGGAAAGTTTAGATACCCATACCCTTTGACCCAAAAACTCCACTTCTAGAAAGCCATTCTACAAATAATCTTGCTTAAATGTACAAAAATATATACAAACAGATATAGAAAAGCAACGTTATTTATGATAGTGAAAATCCAGAAAAATCTAAACATCCATCAACAGAGTATTTAAATAAATCATAGTACAAACATACAATGGAATACTTTATAGCTTTCAAAAAGGATTAGAGGGATCCCTGGGTGGCTCAGCGGTTGAGCATCTGCATTCGGCCCAGGGCATGATCCCAGGGTGCTGGGATCAAGTCCCACATTCGGCTCCCTGCACGCAGCCTGCTTCTCCCTCTGCCTGTGTCTCTGCCTCTCTCTCGCTCTGTAATGAAAAAATAAGTAAAATCTTAAAAGAAGGGGGGGGATTAGATAAATCTGAATTGATATAGAATGATAATCAGGATTCAGAGTTAAAAGAACAAAGCAAGTCACAGAACAATTATCCAAAGTATAATTCTTTTTTTAAGATTTTATTTATTTATTCATGAGAGATGCAGAGAGAGGCAGAGACACAGGTAGAGGGAAAAACTGGCTTCCCACAAGGAGCCCAATGCGGGACTTGACCCCAGGACCCCGGAATCATGACCTGAGCCGAAAGCAGATGCTCAACTACTGAGCCACCCAAGGTGCCCCCCAAAGTATAATTCTATTTGAGTTTTAAGTAGGCTCCATGCCCACCCCGGAGCTTGAACTCACAACCCCCAGA